AGCGCCTGGAGCTCCCCGGTGGTGCTCGTCAGAAAGAAGGACGGCACGTATCATTTCTGCATCGACTTCCGGAAACTGAACGACGTCACGCAAAAGGACGCCTATCCCTTACCACATATTGCGGCTACTCGAAATTGGGACACGCGAGTACCGGAGCGGACGTTAGAGCGTCCTTGAGGCGTTGGAAGGCCTTGTTCTCGATGGCGGTCCAGGTCCAGCGGGCGTTTTTGCGGGTCAGGCGTGTGAGGGGTGCGGTCACGGCGGAGAAGTCCGCGATGAAGCGTCGATACCACGACGCCATGCCCAGGAACTGACGAACTTGCCGGAGGTTGGTGGGCGGTGGCCAATTGACGATGGCGCTCACCTTGGCCGGGTCAGTGCGGATTCCGTGGCGGTCAACAAGGTGACCCAAGTAGCGGAGGCTGTCCCGGCAGAAGTGGCACTTATCGGCGTTGAGTCGGAGTTTGGCGGCTCGCAGGCGCCGAAAAACCTCGGCCAGGTGTTCTAGGTGTTTCTCAAAAGTTGGGCTGGCCACGATGATGTCGTCCAGATACACGAGGACGTTGGGCTCGAGCTCTGGCCCCAGGATAGAGTCCAGGAGGCGTTGGAACGTGGCGGGAGCCGAATGTAGTCCGAACGGCATAGTTCGGAACTGCATGAGTCCCCTCCCCGGCACGGTGAACGCGGTGACTGGTCGGCTTTCGGGTGCTAGCGGGACTTGCCAATACCCGTTTTTAAGATCCAACGTGGTGAGATATTTGGCACCGCGCAACTTATCGAGAGTAGCCGCAATATGTGATAAGGGATAGGCGTCCTTTTGCGTGACGTCGTTCAGTTTCCGGAAGTCGATGCAGAAATGATACGTGCCGTCCTTCTTTCTGACGAGCACCACCGGGGAGCTCCAGGCGCTTTGAGACGGTTCGATTACGCTGGCTTCTTCCATCTTGCGCACTTCCTGGTCTATCACGGCCTGCATGGCTGGATTACGCGGTCGGTATCGTTGTTTAATTGGTTGGTCGGTCATTAGGCGGATACGATGCTCGATATGGTCGGTCGGGCCGCGTATTGTCTCAAAGGCAGCTAGCTCTCGGTGTAGAAATTCTCGTAGCTGCTGGTCTTCGTCCGTGGTGCGTGGCGTTAGCCCGGCCGAAATCTCCCCTACCACGAGTTGGTCGCGGGTCTTGGTGATCGGGGGTGCGGGGAGGGCGACCCCGAGTTTAGTCCAAAGATCAATGCCGATGAGGATCGACCCGCTGAGGTTCGACATGACTTGGAACGTGTGGGTCACGGTACGGTCGGTAATGGTGATCGGCAAGTCCATCGTGTGGGTGATGGGGACCGTGGTGCGGTCGGCCAAGTTGATCTGTTGGGTTACCCCCCGAGGGGGGTAGTCGCAGTACCTCGCTTGGCCGTGGCGGGACTCACAAACGAGACCTCGGAGCCGGAGTCGAGCAGGGCCCACAGATGCCGACCGAGTAGCTGGATCTTCAGATGCGGCCTAGGCGTGAACTTTATGGCGTTCTGTCGGGACGGGCGGCGGCCGCTGGTTCCCCGTGTGCCGTTTCCCGACGGTGGGTAGTCTCGGGTGAATACGCCGTCCTTGCCACAGCGAGAGCAAAACTTGCGTGGTGGCTTCTTACAATCGAGGCGTGTGGCCTCGCTGCTTGCATCGCCAACAGCACTCCTCTCTGCTGTAGGCGGCGGCCGCGACCAGCGGGCTCCGGGTCGGAGGCTGTTCTTCCTTTTGTCGACGGAGTATCCTTTCGTGTTCGGCTGCCCTGGCGCTTAACTCCGCGATGCTGGTAGCTTCTGTCGATCGGATGTAACTGGTAACTGGAGTTTAAATTGTTGTATAGCCGGCGGACTTTCTCTTGTGGCGAATAGCCCCCAGCGCGCCTCATCATGGTCAGCAGGTCCGTGGCGTACTGGTCAAAGGATTCCCCTGGTTTTTGCCTTCGGGCCTGAACATCCTGCCGTAGCTGGTCTTGGTAGTCGGGTGGGAGGTATTTCAATCGGAAGGCGGTGCAGAAAGCGTCCCAGGTGGTCCAGTCCTCGTAATTGTTGCGATACCACAACAATGAATTTCCGCGTAGCATCTCTGGTAGCCCTAGCAGGAACAATTCGTCGGCGTAGCGGTAGGATCGCCTTAGCTCCTCTAGACGTTCGAGGAATGCGAACGGGTTTTTGCCATCGAAGCAGAGGCCCCACTTTCGGATTCGGTCTAGGATTGCGGTGGGGTCGAGTGGCATTGGCTCGACCCGGGCAGGGGCCGGCTCGGGCGGTTCCGGCGTCGCTTTTTCCTCGGTCGGCGGTGTCTTGTTCGACGAACAGCTCCGGGTTTTGGATTACGAATTGGCGTAATCGATGTCGTAACATGTCGGTACTACCGATATTGTCGAGGCCGTGCGTGGCTAGTTGAGTAGCGAGCTGAACCTTCGAAAGACTGTATATCCAAGAGATTTTCATCGGAGTGCGCACGCAAGCCGGAGTCTCTACTGGGCATGTCCCTGTTCGGGTGCCATGTGACGCGGTCACCTCGCTCGACGCTCGGATCGGCTCGTCGGTGTCCGGGTTCGAAAGGAGGGGAGACTCAAGCGTACGCGAACACAAGTGGCGGCGAAAAGATCGCTTATTGGTGGAAAGGTAGATATAGAGTAGTGCAGAGCCGGATGATGTCGCAGTGTCGCTGGTAGCAAAGCGGAGACGCAACCGGTTGGCGTAAGGCGATGAAATGTGCAGGACGCGTGCGGTCGACAACGGTCTATTTACACGGCGCGGTTACCACTAGGGATTACTTCTTAGGATTACTGACTTATAACTAGCGGCCTTAATCTCTATCGCATGCACTTACGAGTTAATGTCAGGCGGGACGGTTAGGTATTGTGGGCAGGGTCGAGTGCCACGTCGAGCCCTGCCTTCGCAACGGAAACCGGCGAAACCCGGTGGAGCTGAGCGAAACCTCAGCCCGAGGAGCGGTGACAGGAGTCTGCGAAACCCGACAGAGCTGAGTGAAACCTCAGCCCGTGGAGCGGTGACAGGAATCGGCGAAACCCGACAGAGCTGAGTGAAACCTCAGTCCGTGGAGCGGTGACAGGAGTCGGCGAAACCCGACAGAGCTGAGTAAAACCTCAGTCCCGTGGAGCGGTGACAGGAGTCAGCGAAACCCGACAGAGCTGAGTGAAACCTCAGCCCGTGGAGCGGTGACAGGAGTCGGCGAAACCCGACAGAGCTGAGTGAAACCTCAGCCCGTAGGTAGAGAAAGCCGGTGAAACCCGGCAGAGCCAAGTGAAACCTTGGCCCCGAGAGGTAGTAGGTACTGGTTAGGTCGGTATCGGGAGTCGGATCGCAGGATAGGATCTGGTCTCGATGTCTCGGCCGGCCGGCTTATATACCCGGCCGGCATTCCCCACTGCGCGCCGTCGGTCCGGTGGCGGGGAGTCGATATCGCGTGGAGGCATCGCGAGCGAGATAGCGTGAGCGAGACGGCGCGTGCGCCCTACAGGCAAGCAAATGCAATAGCGTGGTGTACGTGCAAGCGGGATGGGTAGTGCAGGATAGTGAGCCCAGTGTTTATATATATTATGTATATGTATATGTATGTATATGTATATATGTATGTGTGCTCGTAACGGCCCTGCCGTTACAAAGTAATATTTATAATTAAACGTCTAGGCTAGTCTGTTTTTATTTCAAAACCTTAAATAATGTTTTAAGATGCTACATTATTTAATGATCACTATATTTCTAAAGCTGTACTTAAAATATTTTTATACTTTAAAAATTTTTATTATAGGACTGGACTATGAATATCGGCTTTAACGTAAGATATTTAATTGTTCGTCTACAAGTACTCAGCATCAGAGTCAGAATTATTTATCTATAACTGCTCAGCATATGAGTTAGAATTGTTCATATATAACTATTAGCATCAGAATTAGCGAGTCAAACATTTTTACCTTAGCAAATTTTTGTTTATAACAATAAAACAAAAGGGGTCAATGTACATAGTATATATTTGATACGCAAGTATATACTATATATTATATATTAAAATATATATATCGATATATAATATAAAATATCTCATGATGACAAAAATCCGAATATTTGTATTATTATTAGCATTTTTGAATTATTATTAGCAGGTAAAAATTTAGTATTGAGGACTGATTTGTCAGTTAAATACAAAAAGTATGTCGCGTTGGTTGAATAATATTGAATGGGTCTATGAGATTTCTAAAAATAAATTACATCCCAAAATTTACAAAAAGATAGTCGAGACATAGTTTTTATACCATAAGCCATAAATAATCATTCATCATTTGGAGTCAATACCGTACAGATAAACAAGTATTTGCCATAATAAAATTAATAAGTTCATCATGCTATCTAATTGCTTCATAAAGCAATTAGAATAATAAAAAATTGGAAAAGAAATTGAAAAGAAAATCAGGTAGATCTTCAATCAGAAGAATAAGGGTTCAAAAGAAAAAAGGAATAAAATAATGTGTTTATATATGATCGATATACAGGGTCTCCCAGAGCTATGGAGACTATTTTCGTGTGTAGATAGAGCGGTCTAAACTGAGTTGAAAAGTCCTCTACCATTTTGCAATTTTCGCAATAGTTAACGAGTTATTAATTCTTAAAAATTAATTTTAGCCTACCGTATTTGCCCACCGGCAAATGCAAGCGCGCGGTAAGATATTCTCGCCCGGCGAATCATTGTTGTTAAGCGCGTGAAGAATTGTTTTTCTTCAAGTAGCTCGTGCGTAGCTATTGCCGCTGAAATTTTTGATATCTTAGATAAATATGAAATCAATAGTAAACTACGGGATTTTAAATTATTTTCAGATTTACTTTTATTTTCTGTTATAATCTTGTTTCGTAAAAAAATTTCAAACATGAATTATTAAAGTTGAAAATAAAACAGAAAATATATAAAAGACAATTGATAACACATTATATAAAAGACTATTGATAACACATCAGTCCATTCATTAGTTTCCAAATTCACTTTATTTAAGTTGAAAGTTAAATTCAAACTGAGAAAAATTCCATAAAACGTTTAAACGTTATAGTTGAGTATACAGTTACATAAGTACAAATATAAACATAACACACTTTTACGAAATCTTTTTGTTGAAACCTGATTTGTGGCGAGAAATTTTTTACTTTCTTCAATCTACATCTCATCTGAATGTATAATCTTGTAAAATCACATATCTATATCTATATCTCGCTAAGATGTATTAATAAATTATATTTACCGCAATATTCAAAAATTTTTAGAAAGATTTTACTAATGTATTCAAACGCCGAGTACTTGTTATCTTTCTGGCAAGCTAGTAGTATATATAAAAAGATAAATAATAAGTATTTTGTAGGGAGCAAATTGTTCAATTAAATTGAATGTTAGAAGCATAAAATAATTATTTTAAAATTCTTAGTTATATAATTGATCGATTTTTATATTAACTTAATATTTTTTGGAATATATCTTTATATATAATTTATTATAAAGATATTAATGATAAAATATATATCACATTTCTGCAATATCACAGTGCCTCTGTGCATCTTCAGGTTTCTTCCATTCAACATTATTTCGTGTATCTACAATAAAAGTTTATTTCCTTACAACGTTCTGTTTGTTACATTCTGACAATTGCAATTATGTAATATTTTACCTGGTGTTCTGTGTTTTAAGTACAAAATATGAAGAACAAAATACATGAACGCTGAAAGTGCTGCAAGCACTGAAAATATTTGTAAGGTTTTTGCACCACCAACTTTCTTGTACAAGACGCCTCCGATCAAACTACCGACCGCGAAACCTAAAGATATTACAATAAAATATTTCATAACAATGAACTTTGATTGATCAAACTAAAAAAAAGAGTTACTTATGTAAATTCTTTTTGTTATAAAATGATACTTATACATATATATATTCTACTAAACTAGGAAAAGAAGTTTACCGAATCCGTCATCCATCCCTGCTACAATTCCTTGTACAGTAGCTGATGCACCAGGTGGTGATACTACACTTGCGTATGCTACTATTGTTGTATAACAAAGCGCATATGTTGGTCCCTGCATGAAGAATTCCACTGGAAGTACCCACCATGGTGTTGGTGCAAGAGATATTAATCCTAATCGTAGTGCATAGCATACGAAACAAAATGTAAAGGTATAGCCATATCCAAATTTTTTCAATATTTTGCCTAAAGAGAGAGAAAAAAAGAAAGGATAAAATTTAATACTATATTAGTCAAAACAATATATTTAATTATGTAAACGATTTTAACAAACGTATAACAAACGTATAACAAACTAGCAGAAAAATAATTTACCAGAGAAAGAGAAGAATATTATCTCGCCACCGAGAGTTTCCGCGGCTACGATTAGACCTTCTATTAATTTAATTTCACCCATATGACCGGTCGCCATAGCAAGATCTTCTAAATACCTAGTAATACTAATAATATTAATAATAGTAAATAAACTACACTAAATAATTAGATTTAATCACATTTCTAAGTTCTATGAAACAACAAACGAAGATATATATTGAGATAGATATAAAAATTTACCAGAACAAAAAGTAAATTATAAAACTATCAAGGATACCCGCGAGCGTAGCAAAACATAAAAATATAATGATAGGTTTCAATTTCAAAAGAGTGCATACATCTTTTAGTATGCTTGTCGATCCTAACATAGGTGGCAGCTATAAAGAAGATACAGAATGAAAGATGAAAATATTTAAAAATAATATATTATTGTTTATTTTTCTTTCTTTCTTTTTAATCCATAATATAATTACCTTCAACTTTCTGCAACAGATTAAATCGATACAAGTAAATGCAAGCACAAGAAGAAATGCTGGCGTATAAGTTTTATAAATTTCTCCGTGCGACCACAAGTCCACTGTGTAACCAGCTAAAAATGCTGCTACACCGAAACCGATTGTACCCCATACTCGCTGTTTACCGTATTCCATTTGTTTACCTTCTCCTAAAAAGGTGATCAATTTCTTTATTAAAAAGAGCGTATCTTTTCTAATATAATAAATCAATATCTAATATAATAAATATTAAGCTATCTATATTATAAACTATTAACCAGTGTGTGTGTGTGTGTGTGTGTGTGTGTGTGTGTGTGTGTGTGTGTGTGTGTGTGTGTGTGTGTGTGTGTGTGTGTGTGTGTGTGTGTGTGTGTGTGTGTGTGTGTGTGTGGTGAGCACGCGCGCGCGCGTGTGTGTTGTGTATATATATATATATATACAAATTCTTAAAATATATATATATATATATACAAACCATTTACCTAATACATCAAAGCAAATTGCATCACTTATGCAATTGGAAACATTAAAGCCGATATTACCAAGAGACATTAAGAGAACAAATCCCCAGAAAGTAATGGATGTATATAAACAATGATCATCTTCAAAATTATCACATGTAACGTTACACTTATAATTCTTTGTTATATTTCTTTGACACTGTGATGTTTCATTAATATTTAATAAGCATGAAGTATTCGGTGAAATGATTGCTTCCTTTTCAATTGGATAAAAAGTTAATTTTGTAGAAAAATTTGCATCTTTACAAATCCAATGACACATAGCAACTTTCGTGCCATCACATAATGCAATTGTTGAAATGTGCTTAAATAAAAAAATTAATAATTTTAAAATTAATAATTTTAAAAATATATATTTTTGCTGAAAACATTAATACACAGATATCATTAAAAATTTAATGTTAGAAATTATTAAAATCCAAAAAATTGAATTATATATAAAATACTTTTTAGATATATGTGTACATGTAAAAATAAATACTCAAATTTTCATAGAAATCAATTTTTAATTGAGCATTACAGAAATTTTATTATCTGGAAAATGTGCGATTGTAGGAAAATAATAACTTACATGGTTCATATTACAAGGTAATAAAGTCATGCAGGAAACATTTTGAAACTGATGATCTGGTAAAAGTGGACCAGGCAGAGCTGGTAAAAAGTACATAAAAATGTAACAACCGCTTGTTACAGCAAGTAATGCTATAAAGATCAGTTTTCTCCAGGTGTGAAAATAATCTACGACGAAACCGAATGTTGGTTTCGCGATCAGGAACAAAATCGGTAAAATTGCGGTGATACTACCCATAATTAATGGTGAAATACCAAGTTGCTTGCCATAAACTGGTAGAAACGGTAAAATTGGACCCATTGCTAAAATAAAAATACATTTATGTAATAATAATATATTATTATTCATAAAATTATTAACAACTTATTTTTAATGCTTTTGTACTTATAATATACATTTTTTAATAATATAATTAACTATATTTTTATAACAATGTATTAATATTATAATATATGTAGAATCCTAAATTTGTATTTTATATATATATATATATATATATATATTATTTTTTTTTTCTTTATGTAATGCATTTTATAAAGACTACACTGTGCGTGTGCGTGCGAGCGCGTTTGACGTATTCTTTATAAAATGCGTTATATAAGAAAAAAAATGAGAATTTTAAATATTTTCTGTAAAAAATTTAAAATCAAATATTTATTTTTTGATTACTCACCTGCCATAAAAAGAAATAATGTGCCTTTATAGGCAGTTGTGTATAATTAACTTTCATGATTTATATCAGAATATCAAAGTACTGATGAATTTAGTAAATCTTGTATCTCATTACTCTGGTGTTGTCTCGCGCTAAATTGGCGCTACAAACTGATAAAGTCAGACTGTAGGAGCGAAATTGTTTGAGAATAATAAATGTTACAGAACAATATTACAGAAGTTTCTATAAGTCTATTAAAAAACAATTATAATATAAACATAACTTATGTAAATATTATTATTAGGATTATAGTCTGCGCACAATGGAAAAAATATTAACAATAGGAATAAATATTAAATTTTAGAAATGAAAATTTAGAATAAAAGCTAAACGTAACGCACAATGAATATAAATAAATATAAAATATAGTTAATCTTATACTTATTTGTATTCATTGTGCGTTACGTTTAATTTTTATTCCAAATTTTCATTTTCAAAATTTAATATTTATTCCTGTTCCTAATATTTGCTCCATTGTGCGCAGAATTTAAATTCGATTCGCGATTCGCGGTATATCGATGTAAGTTTCAAATATCGTTTCTACAATTTTTAACGATTCCAAAATGGCGGCGCGCGATGCGCTATCATCTGTACGCTGCATGACATTGCATCAAAAATCGACGCGTGTTTTCGATAGACTCAAAGAAAGATAGTCCATCTTATCTCCTTCGCTGCGCATTTCAAAGTATCGTCGCTTAAACGCAATTTTATTCTCTCGAACAAGAGAAGCCGTCGATGAACTCACCATGTTCGAACTGTCAGCAACTCCCGTTTCGATGTCAATCTCGTACTCCGACTTTTATCCGCAGATTAGGTCTCTTAATCGTTCGATAGGCCACATGCTGTTAGCGGTACGGTTTCAATATCGAAGCAAAGCAGAAACACGTGTAGCTATACATATGTGTGTCGAATAGACGTGCCAGCTCCAGATGTGCAACTGGCACTTTCTACATCCACAAAACGAAATGCACATAATACATATCAATTTAATTTTCGGTGGAATGAGGGGCGAGGCACGGGAAGAGGCTCGAGGAGAGAGTAGTAAGCGCGATTAAATGAGAAGATTGCGTATATAGTCGACACAAAACGACTTGACGCAACAAAAATGTCTTAGCGTTCGCCAGATGCATTCGCTAGAGCACTCTCTTTTCCCGGCGTCATGTCTAATTACGCTAATGCGAGAATTATAATAATTTATAAAGATTTATAACAACTGTATTGATGCACAATTCGAATAGAATGAATTTTTAGTGGCACCACATCATACTGAAATGATTTTTTAAAAGAGATTTTAAAACTTAAACGAAATTATCAAAATGCACTAACTGTCGAGCAAAATATTATTCCTTATTATTTCGATAAATGGCACATAAAATCTAATAAATTGTTCAACACGCATCATACTTCAAATACTTAAACGAGATTTATCGCGAAAAAGCTCGATAAGGTTGTGAATCTCTCGTTATTTACATTGACATTTCGAATTTCGTGATATCACTCATGAGATTATTAATGAAAGGAATTGTCACGAAAAATCAAATTATATAAATAAAATTTGTTCCAAATTACTCGAAGAATATAAAGATTATGGAAGATTTAGCGATATCATGACATTCTACCATTTACAGCATACTTAGATAAGAATGCGATAACAATTCAAAATTGCTTGAATTGAAATTATAGTAATATTTTATGAATTTAATTTGTACAATTTGTGACATAGATACATTATCATGAAATAATTATAATACATTATTAATTATTTATCGCGGTAATATCGACAAAGTTAAATGTTTATAAAAGTTTACAATCCTTATTTACTTAAGCTTTTTTTTGTTTATTAGATTATATTTGTTGCCAACACATATCGAGAAAATACTCTAAAGAAAGATAAACATTAATTATTATAATTAATTATACAATCTAAGAAGTATATTATATTTTTTATATTTAAATTTTAGTACAGAAGTTCTAGTATTTCTAGTATATGCTTTATTATCAGGTTTCTTATCTTAAGGCTTCTGATTATCTGAGTTATATTAAATCATGATATCATAAGCGAAAAAAGACATTAAGATTTCTTGCGTGCTATTTGCAAATAAAGAGATATTTGGATAAAAGTACTTGAGATCGCTTTAAGATACTATTGGAAAATGGACGGAAACAGCAAGGAACGGCAGGAATTCTATTACAGCTCTTCATTGCAGCTCTTCAAAAAGAATGAATTAATAGGCATGACATATTGACAACAAAATTTTGTCTTGCGTGCCATTTTGTTATTATATGCTTAATTAGTGTGATTTATCTCGTATTTACCAAACTTGTAAAAATGAACAGAAACTAAAATTACTTTAGAATTTTATATGTAAGAGTATATTTTTCACTCCTTTCAATAGCTATCAAATGTGTTTTTCTATTTGAATAGAACTTCATTAGGACTATTATACCTTTTAGGACTATTTATTGACTGTCAAGAAGCGAAAGGATAGTTTCCATTCATTTTTACAAGTATTTTAAAGCGGTCAAGTGTTGTTTTATTCAAATTCATATTTTTTATTTGTAAATGGCACGCAAAAAATCTCAATATATATTTTCTCGCTTATAATGTCACGATTTAATATATAGCCGCGGTAACTAATCAGAAGCTTTACGATTCAAAATGTAGGATGATCAGGTTTTCTTAGAATTATATAAATTCCTGAAATAATAGTCTTTATTCTCAAAATTCGCCTACAAAATTCGTTACAGACTGCCGTTTTTCTTCATAACACGAAAAGTATTGTCTTACTACTGCTAGGAATGGAAGGGGAGAAAGGTCGATACACAATATGTATGTATACATCGCGGATCAAAAATAAGAATTCCCTTACAATTCGGCCTATCCTGACAGTATGTGATCCGTTCCGGTTATAATCTGATCATTTTACTTAGAACTAATCAACTTTGATAAATTCACAAATATATCGGGAATACAATAACGAAGCGCAATTATCAATTCAAATTAATAGTTAATTTAATTAATGTTAAAAATTATCTTTAAGATAAGAAATAAAAGAATAGAGACATTATTTTTCACGATTAGAATAATACCACAATTAAATGATTATGAAACAACAGAGCTTGCTCGATTTCTACTGCCAGTCTATCAACAGGTTTTGTTAGCAGGATTCGCTTGATTTCTGCTGCCAATCTGCTGGTAAGTAATATCAACAGATTCTGTCACATTTATGGCAGCAATTTGCCGACAATATTACAAAATCTGTGTGAAATCTATTGCCTTTCTAGCATCAGAAATAGTTGACTCTGCATAAAATCTGTCTCTTCAGGTTTGATTGTCGGGATTAAATATCAATCATTATTGAATTAAGCAATAGCTTAATCAACTTCGTCGTAACTTATCCTTCCAAAATTTAGAAAATTAATCCAAATTCCTAAAAATATTTAGAATATATAATATATAAACAAATTTTTTATACAGTCAAACTTTTTTTATTCTTGTTTATTTTGAATAAAATGGACATTGCTGATATAATAAGTATATACATATTATTATATTTAAAGGTAAAAAGATATTTATATAATGTAAAGAAATATGTTACATGCATATATATTTATATATTTTTTATTGATTTATTTATATACAGAAAAACGTAAACAATTACAATAAAGTAAATCCGATTATTCATTGTCTTACTCTGTAATTTTATAAACTTTAGGATAATAACAATCAAAAAAACAAATGAAAACACTGACTTGCACCAAGCGCATTTTATAAAACTAATATTTTCGCAAGCATATTTTTGTTTTAATAATGATCTAGGGAAATATATCTCATTAATAAACCATTTAAAAAAAATCGCCCGATTATTTTGGATGCAAACTATACTTATTTTAACATTGGTATAAATATCGGAGCACTTGACTGGTTTAAAATTAAAGAATGTTTTTATAACAATTTGTCATACATATATTTATATAAGTGACGAGATAGGTTATATGATATATAGAGAAATGTTTTACACACACGCACGCACGCACACAATGAAAAATAATTAAACACTTTTAGATATGTGCATATTTAATCAATATTATATATTTATCCAAACAAGAAAATTAAAATATTTTTTAAAGAAATTTCGAATCTTATTAATATTCTAAATATGTCCACTGTTTAAGTTGCAATAAGTGATTATCACAGCTGTTGAAATTATGAACATGTTTAAAAAATATAATATATATCTTGCGTAACATAAGAAATAATTATAAGGTCTTCAAAAGAATATTAAACTCGAAAGAATATATTTTAATATATTCTTGATACATAATATAAATTTTTTATTTGATGTTATTATTTTACATTAACATTATATAATACACCCACCATAATATATACAATACATTCATCCATATTTTTTATCAACAATGTAATAAAGAAACATTGAATTATTAATGATCAATGATCATTATAGAAATAATTTTAATTTTTCAATCGTGAACTGAAAGATTGATAAAGCCCAATTAATGATGATATTGTACCAAGTGCTCCAATGTGCCATATTTTTAAACGACCTCCCCACAGTAATCCTGGTGGCAAGTAACTAATTGCATAAGTAATATCCAATATAGCACATGTACATGCTAATAGTGCACTTCGTTGTTTCTTATTGATATCTTTGAATATGATTCTATATTCAATAGAAAGAATGAATATATTAAATTTCTTCTCATTCGCTTTTTATGCAAATGTTATTGAGAATATTTAAAATCAGAGAATATTTATATCATATTAACAAAGAGTAATAAGATAAAATTTTAAATATAATACTTACTGCATATTAGAATTGCTTCCTTCCAACTTTATTTTGTATTTTTGAAGTTTGTGCAATACTCTTAACGATCTGAAAAAATAAGCAAAATAATAATTATATATTTTGTATCTATTTTGAAATTTATATCCTTTTCTTTTATATTGTGCGTTCATTGATAATAGTTTAAAAATGAGTCAAAACATCTGAACATTTTTGTAATTTTTTATATTTTGGACAAATTTTATTGTAGTAAAGTTTAAACTTGCGCTTAATTTAATCATGATGTTTGACTCTTATTTGTCTCTTTTGTTTTATTTTTGGATATTTTTGAGAATTCTTTATTTATTTATTAAATTTATACTTGTTTGTAATAAAATAATAAAATATTTTTTTAAGTGAAATATTATTTTAAACAGAATATCTTTCAAAAATTACAAAAATATTTAAAGAGATATACTTTTTTAAATATTTTTTGCAATACAAATGCAACATGCAATTTGCAGTATGCCTTTTCAAAAAAAAAATAACTAATATTTTCTTTACACCAACTGATTTATCTCATTATTCTATATACAAAAGCATTTCAGTATAGTTATAAAAAAATTAATATTTATGAAATATTTTATATTTATAAAATATTCCAGAAAAAAAATATAAAATATTTCGTAGATTCAATTCAATATAGATTCTATTCAATTCAATATTTTTTTATTATAATATTTTTTATAATTTTATTATAATATTCTATATATAGATTAATTAGTTATATCTTGCAAAAAACATCTTTTTTTATTTTCATTAAAAAAAGATGTTTATATAAAAAAATATCATTATTAACGCCATTTACAAATAAATCAATATGTAATATGAATATGATGTAATTATATGACTTTCCCTTGAAACCCTATAAAATTTCTTTGACAAATTTGTTGTGTGATTTTTGAAACATTCCTCTGGAATATTTCTTGTATCTTGCATACATATAATACATACATACATTTACATATATATATATATGTGTTTTAAAAAATATATATTTTTACTTACTGCAGTAAAGATAGATGTAAAGAAATTATCCAAAACCAAGTTGTAGCAAGATTCCATTTGTCAATATTGATTGATACAATATTATGTTGACCAGCCCAAGCAATGTGTTCTATGGGAGAATAAATGATGTCTATTATATTTTGTATCACTTGGGTCCATCTAATTAACCAGTCAGGTTCCTATTATTAGATTATATATGAAATTTAAATGGCTCTAGAAAAATAATGCAATATAATTTTATTTAAAATATTCTTCATTCTAAAAATTCCTATATAATATGTAATATAATGTTCCATACTTTATTCTAATTAATAAAAGTACCTGTTTTCCCCATCCATATGTCATTATATAATGAAATGTCGGAAGATCATCTAGCAAGCGCAACATTACTCTGCATTCACTCATTTGGCTTCCAAAAGTCTTGAGTTTTTTTTCAGTACTCTTTGATGATGTACATACAGTAAATAATTTTGCCATGTAAGAAAAAGTTTTTAACATCTTATCTCTACCAGAATATGTATCTAAATAATCACTCATAAGCAGAAGAGCCATCTCTGCCATTTTTTATCTTTATTCAAAAGCAGAAAAATTCAGATACTTGACAACTTGTGACGTCAACTATTTGATTTACTACAACAAAAATTTTAAAAAATTATACTATAATCTGTTATTTAAGGACTAATTATTATTAATATAAAAATAAAGTTTGATTGGATGCTTTTACTTTTCTGTATTAAAAAAATATTTAAAAACTAATTACATGTAAGAATACTAAAGCTCTTATTCCTATTACTCCTATTAAAAGAAATTATAAGAAATTATAATTATAAAAGTTCATAAATAAAAATGTAAACCACTTTTGAAGAACGTACTTACAAACAGAACAAACTTAATTTAGATGTAAATTTTAATTATTTGTAATTTTACAAAATTATATGAGATTCATGATATTTACATAAGAATACATTATGCATGCTATATTATGACTGTTTTTGTAGTTTATTTGATAAAATTATTTTTGTAGTTAGTTTTTGCAGTTTATTTGATAAAATTATTAAATTAAACTATTTTATTTGTAGACAATTCTATAGTACTTCAGAAAGTATCTTTTTGTTATTTTGACGAAATATGCGCAGTCACACTAATATAATCAGACTGCTGTCAACTGTTGTTAACTGCGGTAATTCTTTTGGTATTAAAAGAATTGTTTAGATTTAAAAGAATGTACAGCAAAATATGCCAACTCGTTCGTATATACCTCTTTCGATTTGTTAGATATGGTCAGATGAGAGAAAGTCATTTACTACACCGACATCGTCATGGACTTTGCATTCGAGCTTATAAACCGGTTATTTCGCATATATAAAATTAAAGATAATTATCATATA